GGGCCGGGGATTTAGCTCAGTGGTTTCGCCGCCTACTACGCAAGCACAAGGACCCGAGTTCAATCCCTGGTACCAAAAAAAAAAAAAAAAAATATCTCATGCTGGTACAGGCTTGGAAAGTAGGGCGCTGACCTGCGTGTCACAGGGAGAGCATGGAGAAGTCCAGGCTTTTGGAAGGCAGCTTAGAAATATCTGCCAAAACTAACTCCATTTCTAGGATCTATACCACATAAATGAGTTCACTGAAACACTTTAATATTATTATATTTAATAATGTCAAAGACAACTTAAGTGTCCATCAGTGGAGAACAGTTAAATCTATCCCGGAGAGGGTGATGATTTGAAAAATCAAGTGAGTAGCTGTGTGTGCACTGCTAGGGAAAGAGCTCCGGTCTCTTTTGTCTGGTGAAGATAAGCGAGTTGCACAATTCACATGTGTAACCAAATTTGTGATTTTCCTTACATATATAAGTTTTATAAATGTGAAAAAAAATCTCCAAAAGGATATGCAAGGATACCTAAAGAGTGTTTACTTCTCTGGGGGCAAAAGTTGGGAATGGGGGCAATTTCTGTATTTGAATTTACATATACAGTATGGTGGTTTTGATTGTTTACAAAATAGCATTTTAAAAGCATTTAACAAAGCTTACTTGAATAAACTTTTTTTTTAATTGGATCTGTTAAATTGTTAGCAAACAATGGACACCTAAGAGGTAAGAATTGAAATCCCATATTATAAATTCTTCTTAGGGAATATGAAGCGCAGCATATAGAAGCTGACCCTTAGTCCCCTAGTGTCTGACTGTTGTGGAGGACAAGGTTGTTAGGTGTTGAGAAAATTCTTCCAAGAATAGCAGAGAATTCTATGTTCTTCTGTTATGGTTCAGGCCTGGATGTCCCCCCGAAGCCACATTTGGTCAGAGATAGCTCAATCTGGAACGTGTAACATACCCATTTCTTACTCTGTTGGACCACAACATTGTGAGTAAGGAGAATATTTTTGGCAATACGTATGTGTTGACCATATTGACTCTTTTGCCTTTGTAGAGACGCTCTCCCAGTCTGCGTTCTGATTCTTCTTTGGAACAGAGCTTAAGGATCACTGTTGGCAATGACCACTTTTGTGTTAGTACACCAGAACGGCGATGCCTTAATGATCGGCTGGGGTCACCAGTGGATAATCCGGAGGACATGGACAGGTAGGCCTCCGTTAAGGCAGGTGCGCTGTACTAGTCCTAACAGGCAGAAATGTTGCTGTTTTCTGAATGATGTCTTTGAAAGGACAGTCCCAACACCGAAATTATTCCCTATATCCCTGTGTCTGAACAAAGTATGACATTTTTAAGAGGAGAGTGTATTAATATAGACTCTGTTTCTGAATTACTTGTACGAGAGAAGAGACTTTTAAAAAGCTCATCTCAGGCCGGGGATTTATCTCAGTGGTTTTGCCACCTGCTATGCAGGCGCAGGGACCTGAGTTTGATCCTCGGTACCAAAGGAAAAAATAAAACAAAAAAACTCATCTTAGTGGGCTCGGGATTTAGCTCAGTGGTTCTGCCGCCTGCTTCATAAGCTCAAGGACTGGAGTTCGATCCCTGGTACCAAAAAAAAAGAAAAAGCTCATCTTGGTATGTCTATGGTATAATCAGAGTCTCTAAAGCAAAAAAATTAATTGAAATAATGTGGATTCTAAAATACTGGAACTGTGAGGGGTCCCTTATGTAAAGAAAAGTTCTAGATGATATGGGAATTTTTTTTGTGTGTGTGTGATACTGGATATCAAACTCAGGTGTGTTCTACCACTGAGCTACATCAGCCCTTTTTATTTTTCATTTTGCAACAAGGTCTTGCTAAACTGCCCAGGCTAGCCTTGAATTTGTGATCCTCCTGCTCCACCCTCCTGAGTTGCTGGGATAACAGGCATGTGCTACCACGCCTGGCTGCAGGAAAGATGTTTTTAAAATTTTTTTTGAAGTTTGTACACATCCAAATATTGATTCAGACAGGGTTTAGATATGCCTGATATATGTATGTATATTAAACATTTAAGCAATGATAAAAGTTAGAAATCTTTATTCAATTATTTACAACTATTGAGTGCTAAGAAAGGGCAAATAGACCCACAACATGGAATATAGACCTCAGGTACTAGGAAGTTCACTATATATGGGAAGTAAATAATCTCATTAGATGTTTTTCACCTCAAAAAAGTCAGAATGGGAGTGCAGGGCTGAGACTGGGTCTTTTATGGTCTCTGCTTGCATTTCAAGAGTTTCCATAAATGATTAGCAGTAGCAAAGGTTAAAGAAATGATCTTTCATACCGAGCCTGTCTGTTCAGTAGTGCTCAGAGCAGAGGTGGGCAGATGGGGACAGTTGGGCAGGAAGACTGAGGACAGTGCTGCTCTTGGTAACATTGATTTCAAAGTTTCAGAGGCTGTGGACATGGTGAAGCAAGGCAGAGCAGTCCTATGTCCTAAAACAGTGCAGGTTCTGAGGGCAGGGCTTCAAGGTTTGTGACCCTATATTTCAGGAGACAACAGCTCTCGCCCTTCCTGTGGTTTCTATTTTGGAAGGTGATTGAGTAGGCAGTTTGGGTAGGTGGTGTGTGGGTTTCAATCCTTTTCCTTCCTTGCTGAGGTTTTGAGGGAACTTCAGCATTTCCTCTTCTTAGGCCTAGGTTGTCACTTCCCCTCTGCATAAACTTTGTTTTGAGCTTCAGATAATCTGTTGTCTTTTTAAGTTGTGAAAGTTTGGACCAGGGATTTAGCTCAGTGGTTCCGGCACCTGCCTCACATGCACAGGGTCCGGAGTTTGATCCCTGGTACCAAAAAAAAAAAAACAACCCTAGACCAAAGTTGTAAAAGTTTAGGACTATAATCATCTTTTTAGAAGCATGTGTTTCAGAGAGATGCATGCTTTAGAGAAATTGAGATTAAGGTTCTGAATGGATGTTACAGGGTCATTCTTTTCTACCACCTGTACATTTTATGTTTTTTTGCACTTTCTCAGTATGGTTTTGTGGTTTTTTTGGTGCCAGGGATCGAACTCGGGAGCTTGTGCTTGCCAGGCAGGTGCCAGAACCACTGAAGCCCCCACCCTTTCAGTATGGTTTGTGGGGATAGTTACTGTCTAGTAACACCAGACCATGGGACCATTGACATATTCAGATGTCTCTTGACAGTGATTCTCATCTTCCACTAATCAAATAGGCCATTTCCAGCCTTTATAGATGTTTATTTTCTTTTTCCTGAGACACTAATACAGTGAACCCCCCAAATTGGCTGAGGTTACGTTCCTTGAGCACCTGTGAATTGTGAAAAACTGCAAATTTCAGATATGGTCAGAAAAATCCCTATTTTTATAGTTTAAGCCATAAATATGTTGTGTCTCCCACAGTATGTAATTTAATAAAATACTGTATTGGCTGGAGATTTAGCTCAGTGGTTTTGCCGCCTGCTGCGCAAGCACAAGGACCTGAGTTCGATCCCCGGTACCAAAATAAAATAAAATACTGTATTAATTAAGCCTTGGTGCAGGGAATTTTGGTGGCATCTTAGGGATATTAGAGCTTTAAGAGGAGCAAAATCAAGAACACTTGAGATAGCTACATGTGTTACAGCAACCTATTATGATGTGGGAATGCTGATGAATCTACCATAGCTGGGTTACAGGGCAGCAGCTAATCAGCAGCAAGAAGAATTGAGTAACACTCTCAGATTGGCTGCTTGCAAACCTCCCACCAAAAAAACCCCACAAAAAAACAAAAAAAAAAAATTGCAGAGGATATTTGCTGTTTCCACAAAATTGTGGGGGTTTCCAAGAACAATCATTAGTTAGGTCCTAAGGAAAAATCTGCATATGATTGAGGCCATGAACTCTGAACTGTGACTTTGCGGGGATATACTGTATTCTTTTTCTTCCTATTGAGTCTGTTATGTTTATTATATCAAGTTGGACAACAGCCAAGTGACCAGGGTTGTTACTACTTTAGCAGTCCTTTAGCTAACTATAACTTGTTCCAAAATACAGCATGACCAGTTTGTATGAAAAATTCTGAGAAAACTGGGTTTCTCAAGACTAGTGGATATGAGGTCAATTTCTCCTGTTTATCAAAGTACTTTGTACACTAAACATTCGCTCTTCTTTTTTTTTTTGGTACCGGGGATTGAACTCGGGACCTTGCGCATGCAAGACAGGTGACAGAACCACTGAACTAAACCCCCGCCAAAACATTCTCAATTAGGAGAAATTCTTATCTCCTAACTCCTCCTGGCCCTGATAGAGTTTGATGAAATAGGATATATTTCCCTTTGATTTACTTAAGGAAAAGACACAAGCAGAAACTTTTTGGGGGCATTTTGAGGACTCAGCAAAGGAAAAGAATGGAGAGTTTAGACTCTGAAGGACTTTTTTTTTTAACGTGCTGGAGATTGAACGAGGGCATTTAGGCAAGTGCTCTCTGGCACTTGGACTATACCTGTAGTCATAAAGGACATTTTTAAAGAAATCATATATATTTTTAACCACTTTATTAAGATATAATTAACATACCATATAATTTACCCTCTTAAAGTGTATAGTTCAGGAGCTTTTATTGCTTGCTCTTTTTTTTGTTTTCGTACTGGGGATTGAACTCGGGACCTTGTGCTTGCGAGGCAGGCAGCAGAACCACTGAGCTAAATTCCCAGCCCTACAGAGGTTATTAATTTCTTTTTCTTTTTCTTTTTTTTTTTTTTGGTACCAGGAATCGAACTTAGGACCTTGTGGCTTGTGAGGCAGGTGCTGGAGCCACTGAGCTAAATCCAGCAGCTTTAAGTATAGTCAGTGTTGTGGGTCCACCAGTACAGTCAGTTTTATAGCATTTTTGTTAGGTCATAAAGAAACCTGTCATCTTCAGCCATTACTCTCCTCACCCTAGTCCCAGCCCTAACCTACTTTCTCTATATATAGATTTGCCTATTCTGGACATTTTCTTTTCTTTTTTTCCCGGTACTGGGAATTGAACTCAGGACCTTGCACTTGTCAGGCAGGCATGGCACCACAGAGCCACATCCCTGGGCCCCTGTACATTTTCTTATAAATACAGTTGTATGTTATATTGTCCTTTGTGACTGGCTTCTTCCGTTTACAATAATGTTTTTAAGGTTTATTCATGTGGATAGCATTCTTTTCTATAGCCAAAAATACTTCATTGTATGCATAACCATATTTTGTGTATTTATTAGTAGTGAACGGATAGACAGCACTGAGTTGTTTTCACTTTTTGGCTATCACAAATAATGCTGCTAAGCCGGGTGTGGTAGCACACACCTGTAATCCCAGCACTTGGGAGGCTGAGGCAGAAAAATCACTGAGTTTGAGGCTATTCTGGGCTACATTCAAGGGCAACTTGAACTACATAGTGAGACCCTGTCTCAAAACAAGCAAACAAACAAATGCTACTGTGAATGTTAATGTATAAGCTTTTATGTGGACTTAATGTACTTCTTTTCTTTTTTCTTTTTTTCCTTTGGTGGTAATGAAGATCGAACCCTGGGTCTTGTGCATGCTAGCCAGGCATTTACTGCTGAGCTACACTCCCAGCCCTACATTTTCTAACTTGCTTAGTGGAAATTTGTAAACACAAAAAAATAGATTAGTACAGTGAACCCTCATGTGGCCATTACCTGTATCTAGCAATCAGTTGTTTGTTTGGTTTTTTTTTGGTACCGGGGATCGGGGATCGAACTCCAGACCTTGAGCTTGCAGAGCAGGCAGTGGAACCACTGAGCTAAATCCCCGGGCCACTAGCAATCAGTTTTTGGGGTTTTTTTTTGGTACCAGGGATCGAACTTGGGTCCTTGCGCTTGCACAGCAGGCGGCGAAACCACTCAGCTAAATCCCTGGCCCCCTAGCAATCAATTTTTACAATAGACTTTATATTAGAAAACAGTGGGAGTTACCCTAGGCTTCTAGAGAATGTCCATGACTGGACTCCTCAGACTCCAGGAGATGTGGTACTTCTTAGGGCTTAGCTTTTATCATAGCCAGTTTTCTCTTATTTCTTAGGAGTCCTGTGGAAAGAGGACCTGAGCTTCTAATAATCAGCCTGATTTCTGACTCTATTTAGTTTCTTTTTTTTTCCCCCTTAAATTCTTTTATTGGTACATTTTAGGTATACAATACATTTACATTTATCATTGGGAACTTGTACCTTTATATGATATCTCTTGGTTCTTATTTTTTCCCCATTCCCCTGCCCTCCCTTCAACTCCTCAACCCCTCCCTATTTACAAAGACTTTGTTTCCATTTTTTCCTTTTCTCATATTTTTTCCTGTCCCTTCTTTCCTTTCCCCACGGCTCCCACTTCCCCTAACCCTTTGCACCTTTTCTTCCTATTTCACATTATCAGTTATTTTAATCCTTATTTGTACTTTCAGGTTCTCACACTAGAGAAACTGTTCGGTATTTACATGTTTGTCCTGTTTTTTTCACTTAAGAGTATGCCCTCAATGTGTATCCATTTAGCTATAAATGACTCTAGTTTCTCATTCTTTATGGCTGAGTAGTACTTCATTTTATAAAAAAAAAAAACAAGCCCACATCTTCTTTATCCAGTCTCCAGTTGATGGGTAATTGGGATATTTCCAAGCTTTAGCTATTACAAACTGTGCCGCTGTAAACATGGGTGCGCATATATCACTGTGGTGTGATTCTTTTAATTCTTTTGGGAAGATACCCAGCAGGGGAATAGCTGGGTCAAATGGGACCTCTAATCCTAGTTTTTTGAGGTATCTGACTATATGATAGCTTAAAAAAACTTATTTATATGCTTTCTTTAATTGTATGTCTCCTTTTGCTGGAAATTTTACATCTGGAGTGAGGCTTCCTGAGAAGCATCTTATCATTCCTAGCTTCTTGACATTTAGTGTTGAATTAAAGCAAGGGCTATATTCCACATAATAGTTTTAGTGTGGAGCTGACCATAAAAGCATGGATGGACTTGCCACTACCCATGTAGTCTATGTTATTTCCCTACACTCACATGATAAGACTTTTTTGTATGGTAGATGGTATTTTAGTAATGGAGTGACTCAACTCATAGCCATTCCTTCCTGGAAGTAGGTATGGTCATGACTGGTAGACCTACAGAGTAAAAACTTTTTTTCAGTTATATTTGATTTAAGAGATCATCCTTGGTACATTCACATTCCATCCTGTTTCATACTATGTTGAGACCTCAAAGTTTACTAGATTCCAATCTGGTTTTCCACAGGTAGCATTGTTTTAGTGGAAGTGAGAAAGTTTAACCTTGATAGCCTTTCATAAAGTAATTTATAGCTGTTGCCCAATTCTATAGCTTTGAACAAAGGCAGTACTGGTGGATAAGAAAAGGGAACTTCATGGTGTTCTGCTAGGGTAGTCCCAGAGGTAGGAAAACAATTATTAAAAAAAAATCACTTCTAGAAGCATACATATTTTTTTGTTGTTGTTTTTTGTTTTTTGGTACCGGGGATTGAACTTGGGTCCTTGTGCTTGCAAGGCAGGCGCTGGAACAACTGAGCTAAATCCCTGGCCCTAGAAGCATACATGTGCGCACACATGCAGAGTAACTACTACAAATAGTATGCCAATAATTGCCATCCTTTACATAGTAATTTATTTGAACATGAGTAACATGGATGAATTTCCATTTTTCATTTAGATTGTTTAAAAGTTATATGCTTAAAGTACTAGAGGATTTTTATTTCTTTTTTTTCAAGACCAAGAATTGTAGTTTAGTAACATGTTCGGGGTTTGTTGGTTTGTTTTTTTTTCCAGTACCAGAGCTCGAACTCAGGACCTTGTGCTTTCGAGGCAGGTGCAGAACCACTGAGCTAAATCTCCAACCTGAGTTGAGTGTTTTTTGGTACACATACAGAATGATAAATAATTTTGAATAGAGTATATAATTTACCAACTAAGAATACATGTTTTTGAGCAAGACTTCCACTTATGACCAAGAACATGTCTAGCAAATACCATTTAGCCAATACTATCTTTTTTTCTTTTCTGAGGCAAAAATTTATTGGTATATTTTGGATATTACATAATGATAACATTTATCATAGGGAATTTGTACCTGTACATGATATATCTGGCTTCCTTTTTTTCCCATCCTCTCCCCTTCAACCCCTCTTCCTCTCCTTATATACAAGAACTTTGTTTCCATTTTTTTCCTTCTATTTTCTTTTTTTTCCTTGTCCCTTCTTTCCTTTCCTCCTCCCCTCTCCCTTGTTTCCTTTCCCATTTGAACATTTTCTTTCCATTTCCCAGTGTCTGTTATACATTTTAGTCCTTATTTCTTTTTCAGTTTCTCACACCAGAGAAACAATGTGGTATTTAAACACGTGTGTCTGATTTATTTCACTTAAGAGTATGGTCTCAAGGTGCAGAGGATCTGTATTTCTATCTATGATTTAAATTTCTCTTTTGGGTCATAGAAGGTCTGTAGCCACAGTGCCCAAAAAGGTTAGGTCAGTGTGGATGGTGCAGAGCTCTGGGCTAAAAAGAGTTGTCCCATCCTGCATTTTTTCCTTCATGCCGTGGAGAGCTGAGACTTTTATATTTCTGTGAAATAAAAACATAGTGAGCCAAACCATCACTTTTGTATGGGCCAAAGATTAGCAGAGTGCTTGTGGATATCCAGGTGAGATAGGAAGAAGGGTGACAAAGCACAGTTCTATGGGTTTTCAATTCTCCCCCACAGTTACACCTATTTTTCCCAAGTGAGATATCATAGAACTTTTAACATGTAGACATGAAGTTGGGGCTGGTGTGATGTAAGTAGGGTGGAAGGCCCAGAGTCTTCTGGTTCTGTTTTCCTCACACCTTTTTCCTTTAGAGAATGCCTAAGCATTTTTTATAATCTCTGTGGAATACAGCTTAAAAACCATTGTTCTGGACTGGTGTTCCTCAGACTTTGAACCTGGAGGACAGGTCCTATACTGGTGGTCTTGTTAAAATGCAGGCTCTGACTATAGTAGGCAGAACCTGAGGATTTGTGTTTCTAATAAATTCCCAGTTAATGCCAATGCTGCTGGTCCAGATTATACTTTTGGTAGCCAAGAGCTTGAATTTGGTTAGTCTGGAGTTGTGCAAACTTGAGACTCTCTATATTCTGTTAGTGGTGTTTTCGCATCTCTCAAACCCTAATATGATACTCTACATTCCCAGTCTAATCAAAGAAATCAGCCTGAAAGCTGTGTCTACATGTATTGGTAAGATCACCCCCGGTTAGAGGCTGAAGCTCCTTGTGCCCCTGGGGAAAGGGAGGAGAAATGTTTCAAATGTTTCATGTATTGCATAGATCTGTTCTTGGATTTCATAATTATTATCTTTTGTCCTAAGCATTCTATAGTCCATTAGTCAAATATCAGTCTCAATCTTGTCTGGTCTTGTCCTTTTCAAGTCCATTATATTTAGCGGTGCTTGTCTGTTTCCTCAGGGATGACCTGATTGATGATTCTGTCTTCACTCGACGCTCCCAATGCTCTCGGGGTCTTGAGCAATATATTTCCCAGGAGGAGAGGCCTCTTAGTCCCTTCTTGGGACAACTTGATGAGGACTACAGAACAAGAGAAACTTTCCTGCATCGATCTGATTATAGTCCCCATGTCAGTTGTCATGATGAGCTGTTGCGGGGAACAGAACGGAATAGAGATAAACTCAAAAGCTCCTACTCTGTTCGATCTGAGGAAAGGAGCCGGGAGGCCAAAAGGCCCCGTTATGATGATACAGAAAAGATACACAGCATGGAAGGGGATCACCCAAGTTTTACATCAGGAACTCGCAACTATCGGCAGCGTAGACGAAGCCCAAGTCCTAGGTTTCTAGATCCTGAGTTTCGCGAGCTGGACCTTGCCAGGAGAAAGCGAGAGGAAGAGGAACAAAGTAGGAGCTTGAGTCAGGAGCTGGTGGGAGAAGGTGACAGTGGTACTGGCTGTTCCATCCCTGGATTATCAGGTTCCCTGACAGCTTCAGAGCCTGGATATTCTTTGCATCGGCTGGAGGAAGTATCTGCAATGCCCAAGAAGTCCATTCTGAAGAAGCGGACTGAGGTGGATATGGAGCCTTCTGTACAGGTCTCTGTTAAATATTTTCTGGGGTCACTTGCTAGTCCCTTTGGTATCATAAACCCTGGTTATTTTCCTGGAGGCTGTGTCCCTAGTGGTATATTTGTAATATATACTGGACCAACATTGTTATATACATGAGCTACACCTTATAGGAGTGTCCAAGTGAAACCATAGGTCTCATAATGCATTGGTAGAGGGCTTCCATTATCATATTTTTAGGCTTCCTAAAGATACATTTTAGAGAGTAGCTACTGAAAGTTTTTTTCCTTATGGTAAATAGTCCTGTAGGAATCTTCAAATATGGGTTTCTTGGACATGAAACTTAAGGGGCAAAAGAAGGAGTTGATCCTGAATATCCTCATGTCTTTTTAGAGAGAAGACAAATGTATAAGTTGTAGGACAGTAGACCAGAAACCAAGTAATTCTAATTTTGGACCCACTGGTGCCACCAGCTTGGTGCATGATTTTTAGATGTCACCTCATCATTCTAAGCCTTGCTATTTTTTCCTTTGTTATGAAAAGATGATCAGGCAAGACCACTAGTCTAGCTATAGGGGTCAAAAGAAGTGACTGAAGCAAGTGGTGCCTGGTTGGTTAAAATTCCAGACTTACTGTTGTCACTTCAAAGCAGCACCACTTGTATGTTTTTTCTTTTGGAGAGCCATAGAAATGAAAAGCTGTGGGATCTCTAAAATCCTTTTGAAATCACATTCTTTGAAAAAGTCTTTTAGAAAGGGTGAAAGTGGGAATTCCATGAAGTCTGCCTCATTTTCTTGTTGGAGCAGAGACATCTGGAGAGATGGGGACCCATATCTCAAACTTGGCTAAAAACATGTCCTTTAGACTTATGTCTCCCCTATTGACTGAGAAAGAACAAAGCTTTAAAGTATTTATCTCAGCTACTAATATCCTGAGATTCTGCAAGAGGTTAAATCAATTATGTTTGCCTTTGCAGCTTGGCAGTTTTTCCAGCAGCACCAGCACCAGCCAGGATCACCCAGGGTACTCTGGACACTCATCTCTTCCGCTGAGTGGTGCTATTGCAGCTTTTGCTACAGAGATTGAAGACAAGGGGACAACAGTGGAGGCTGCCCTGAAGGAACCTCAGGGCAACCTCTACCAATGGGGTCCCCTCCCTGGGGTGCCCAAAGACAACAGTCCTCTCAGAGAAAAATTTGGAAGCTTTCTGTGCCACAAAGAAAAACTGGATTTGAAGGCTGAGGGACACACAGACTTCTTACTGCCCCATGAGAGAGCTAGCCAGGATGGAAGTGGGTTTTCCCGAATTCTGAGCATGTTGGCAGATTCTACCAGCACACAGGAGAAAAGGCGCCGAAGCTTCCCTGACATTGAGGATGAGGAGAAATTTCTCTATGGTGATGAAGAAGAGGACTTTAAGGCAGAGTCACCACCAAAGCCCCCTGGGAGTTCTGAGACTGAAGTTATGAGGCAGAAGGCAAGCTCCCTGCCCTCTTCATCTCCAGCTATAAAGCTGGAATCCCTAGAAGAGACCAGTCCTGAATATGCCAAGATTCATGACTTGCTAAAGACCATAGGGCTGGATATTGGAGTAGCAGAGATTAGTCAGCTGGCTGTGCGTACACAGGAGCGACTTCATGGCAAGAAGCCATCATCACGCTCCACAGCTGATCGCCGTTCCTCTGTTGACCGACACTTTTCAGCAGACCGTTGCTCTTCTGTTGACCACCGTTTCTCAGTTGATCAGTGCTCCTCAGATCCCCACAGGCTGGATGACAGGGATGTACACCATGGCAGTGCCCACTCTCCAGAGGGGTCCCGTCCACACCCAGCCTCCCCAGTGGATCCTTACTTGCTCACAAAACACAGCCCTCCCTTCCTAAAATCTGACCATCCAGTGAGTCATGTTTCAGGACCCAAGGTGGTTGGTAGTGGGTTTCAGTCAGCTGTTGCAGTCAGGTGCGTATTGCCCTCTGCACCATCTACCCCGATTAGGCTTCCCCACTCTGCTTCATTATCTCAGTTTCATGTGCCACAGCCCTCTCAGTTTGCTGCCGCTCGGATACCTCCAAACTATCAGGGACCTGCCATCCCTGCTGCCTCATTTGATGCCTATAGGTCCTACATGGCCTATGCAGCTGCAAGATGGCCCATGTACCCTGCATCTCAGCCAGCAAGCCCCCTTCTTCCTGAGCTACACAGAATAATGCCACTAACCAAACAGGCTTCTCGGAGCCGTCCCAACCTCCGTGTGATCCCCACTGTGACTCCTGACAAGCCCAAACAGGAGGAGCCAGTGCCAGACTCAGTTCCTACTGCCCAAGTGCCTGTCCAGGTGTCCATCCCACCACTCATAAGATACAACCCAGAGAAGATCTCTGATGAAAAGAACCGCGCCTCCCAGAAGCAGAAGGTAGATATTCGCTTCGGACTCTTGTGCCTGAGTTTATTTTAACAGAAATTTGTCTTTTAGAGGGGGCTGAACATTTGTAAGAGCCTTCTACTCTTAAGTCCTTTGGAGGTTGCAGTTATTGCCCTAAGTATGTAATGTAAATAGCCCCTTAATCTTCTCATGTGTTTTGTCCCTACTGCTAAGTAGAGTCTGCCCGTAAGTCCCATTCTGATTGCTAGATTTTTCAATATTTATTTCTCTATCCATGTTGATGGCCTTAGAGAACACTGAGGGTGGGAGCTAAGAGCCTTAAAGTCTCCCATAGTCTCATTTTTTTCCAGATTAAAAAAAAATTAGCTAATCCTCTTAATTTTCTTTTTTTATTTTTCCTCTTAATTTTCTGTTATACTCAGATACCCTGAACTTCAGGCTTTAGTTTTATTGAAGTGTTATTTGGAAAAGGTTCAATAAAGGCAACACTTCAGACTTCAGAGACAGTATTTGAAGACTGAGTACTCTCTCATCACTTTCCCTCTAAGAGACTAACACTTAAGTCAGGGCTGATAATGCATAGACTTTTTTTCTATTGGCCTATCAGAGACAAGCCATATGTATTTTTTCTATTAGGTGGTAATAATACAGTTTAAAGATCATGAGCTTTAGGGCAAATATACCTGTATTTTAAATCTCTTACTGACTGGGTAAGTTAACTTTACATCAGCTGAGTTTTCTTACTATAATACAGAGAAAATGTGAGGATTAAATAGCATGAAATATGTAATGTGACTAATACAGTAATACAGTGCCTCATCCATGCCACATAATTTCTTTCTCCATGGCTCCCTTTGGCTCAGAACCATTGTTCAGTAGTTGTTGTCAGTGGTTTTAGGTGATTGCTGCATAAGAATACTGCTTTCTGGGTAGTATAGCTCTGAAAAGAAGAATAATTTTATTCTGGAATCTGGATCAGACTGAAATAGCATTTTTTTTTTTGGTACCAGGGATCAAACTTGGGTCCTTGTGCTTGTGCAGCAGGAGGTGAAACCATTGAGCTAAATCCCCGACCCTGAAATAGCATTTTTGACTACAAAATCAGTGCCTCACATACCTTGAGACCATACTCAAGTGAAATAAATGAGACACACACATTCAAAATATCATATGGTTTCTCTGGTGTGAGAAATGCGAAGTGTAAATAGAGGCCAAAATTTATAATAGATACTATGGAAAAAAACCCCAAACAAACAGTGCCTCACTGTGCAGGCATTTGATCCTTGGATTAAGATACCTAGCATGTGGGCTTCTGGAAGAGAGCAGTAGAAAAAAGAGAATGTTGGAGGCTGAGGGACTCTCTTACCATTTTGTTCTCTGTAGGTTATTGAAGAGAGGGAAAAACTGAAGAGTGATCGGGAAGCCCGCCAGAAGAAAATGTACTATCTTAGGACTGAATTGGAGCGACTGCATAAACAACAAGGTATCAAACAAATCAAACAACTCCTGTGCATGAGTGCCTTTTTTGTAGTGACTTGAACAGGGGAGGTGTTGGTATTCTCAGGCAGGTTCGGTGACCCAAAGCCTCTTCTAAAAAAAATTATAACAGAGTGGAGAATGTACCTTTGCAATAGAGTGCTTATCTTGCATGCATGAGGCCAAGACCATGGGTTCAGTCTCTTCGACCACAAAAAAGAAGCCACTGTTCTCCCAGATTATTAACATCTTATTACATTTGCGCTATTCTTTTGTTTGTTTTTTTGGTACCGGGGATCAAACTCAGATCCTTATGCTTGTGAGGCAGCGGGCAGAACCACTGAGCTAAATCCCCGGCCCTCTTTTTTTTTTTTAAGAGTAGGAAAATTTATTGGGGAATAAGAATAGCTCCTGAGAGATAGGAGGGATCCCCAGTGGGTTGCCCTGCTCTATTCTTTTATTTCTTTATCTCAGTCCATGTGTATGTGTGTGATTTTTTTCTGAACTCTGTTTATAGTAAGTTGTAGATATGGCCCACCTTTACCAGTAAGTACTTAAGTGTATATTTCCTAACAGTAAAGAATTTATATGCATAACCATAGTGTACTAATCAAAATTAGGAAATTAACAGCAAAATGGTACTATTATCTAGTTCACCAGTCTTACTTGTATTTTACCAGTTGTCTCAATAAGTTGTGTGTGTGTGCGTGCGTGTATGCATGCATGTATGTATTATGTGTGTATGTGTTGCTGGATATTGAACCCACAGCCTTTGCACTGAGCTACATCCCTGGCCCTTTTTTATTTTTTGTTTTGAAGTAGGGTCTTGCTAAGTCTTAAGTTGTCCAGGCTGGCCTCAAACTTTGAATCCTCCTGTCTCAGCCTCCCAGAATGCTGTGATTACAGGCATGTGCCACCATGCCAGGCTCTCAGTAATGCTCTTTACAGCAAAAGAAACACCTTATTCATCACATTCGTTGCTATATTCTTTTATTTATTTATTTATTTATTTATTTTGTGGTACCGGGGATCGAACTTGGGTCCTTGTGGTTGCGAGGCAGGTGATGGAAAACTCACTGAGCTAAATCCCTTGCCCTTAGTCTTCTATCTTTTAGTAATTCCTGAGTTTGTGTTTTGTAACAAGACGTTTTAGAAGAGGTCACATATTTTGTAGCATATCTCTTAATTTTGGTTTGTCTAATGTTTCCTTATGATTAAATTTGGGTATTCACTTTTGGCAGGAATATTACAGAAGCAATGATAAGTTTATACCATATGTTGATTTATTCCATTACTGATGATATTAACTTTGATCGTTTGGTTAAGGTGGTGTCTGCCAGGTTTTCCCACCATAAATTACTATTTTATCCTTTTAAATT